TTAGACAAGGAGGGCAGTAGCGTGCGATAAGGACAGACATACATGCACGATACACAAGGAGAGCACAGCGTGCGACAAGGACAGAGAAGTACGCGCGGTAGACAAGGAGGGCAGTAGCGTGCGACAAGGACAGAGATATATGCACGATAGACAAGGAGAGCAATAGCGTACGACAAGGACAGAGATATACGCGCGGTAGACTAGAAGAGCAGTAGCGTGCGACAAGGACAGCAGTATTAATTAGTTCTACCGTTTCACCGCTACGCGATGCTAACATTTCAGTTCCTAGTGGCTAGTATATTCAGTCCTTTAGTATACCAAAGATACCCATCCATAAATAAATAGCTGCTATTTTTGTTATATATCACAGGACGAAATATATTTTTTGGTTTGTTTATTTACATTCGAAATGTAGACAAACAAGTTTTTCCAGAAAATTGTGCCGAAAAGTTTTTGACGGCTATGAATTTTTGTTTTGTTTACGAATTTCATTTATTCATTTACATTTTGGTTTTGTTTACAAATAAAAAATAAAATGAAAATAAACAAACGATATTTGTAAATATTTGCAAATAAAAAATTCTAAATTTTTATAGTAATACAATGTTAAAAATGTCATGTAATTTATGCTTGTATAACATTTATTTTAAAAAATATATACGTATTAAATAATTCTTGGAAGTGTTCCTTTCTCGAGAAAATGCTGATTAATATTCCCGATGATTCATGGTTTATGTCTTAATTTTATCCAGTTTTCTTGTGTGCTGTGTTCACATACATTTATATGAAACGATTTGGCGCACGTTCAACGTAAATACGACCAATGATACGACGAATGTCCTCTCAACGTTTCAATGATCATGTGTCACCAGCTTAAAATGTATTTACTTTTTCGAATGTGCGAGACACTATCTAGTTGGTATCTTACCAATGATGCATAAGGGGGAATCAGTTAGGGGAAATGGCTGATAAAGTATTAGGTGATGTTTTGACAATTTTGTTTCTTTCGTTACACTAATTGAAAGAGAAGCGTGTTATATTTCAAGATATGTCTTAAACTGTATTGTGAATTATACACTTCAACGAAGACCGAAAATATCTGTCGATGAATGTGCCTAAGTTGAGGAAGAAAAACTTGTCAAAACCTGTCTCGATGTGTTTCGAGTAGCTGCCATTAAGAAATGTTCGTTATAAACGTCTAAATAATTTTTTTTTTGACAGCCTCCTCGAGGAGATTATGCTAAATAAAATAAATATGTATATATAATTCAAGTTTATATTTGAAGCAGAAGCAATTTATGTTTGTCGTTAAATAAGTTGCTCTTCGTTGTTGAAAATTGATACAGTATTATTTCATAAAGAATAGGTAATTGTTTTGTAAAGAAGTGATAATTGCTTTCAGCATTTCGAGATAAGATAAATTTTGTTCTAATCAATTTTAAAGATAATATATTTTGTTGCAGATAATCAAGACTTCCTATTGATAGGCAAATTTATCTAATGTAATGACACAATGATACAATGATGTAAAAGTGTTTATGACATTTCTATAAAAGAGAAATGGAAATGAAATACTTTTGAGGGCAATAAGATGCCTGTCAAACCATTCAATAATGGGACAGCATTTCGCTAGTCTCAGGGAATTTTTTAGAATGGATAGTGAAAGGCAGTCTTCCGAAGCATGTACTAACGTTATCCAGCCAACGCAGTTAAAGATGATGAATCAGGATGATATAGAAAATTTATTGAATTTGAGTCTGATTCTACACGAAGAATGCAAGACAGATGGGAATTTGGATAACGATAATTTAAATTTAGATCTAGATAATCACAATTCTAGATTTGAAACTTTATACAGTCAACCAATCGAAGTGCAGGATTCAAAGAAAATTTGTAATAATGGAAATATTACTAGAGAGATATGTTTTAAGCAACAGGAAGCATGTTGCAGTAGTTCAGGAAGTAGTAATACTAGTAGTAGTTCTGAAGATAGTCCTGTTAATCCTCCTTTAAGAAGATCTTCTAAAACTTTATCGTTTGGAAAACGAAAAGGTAAAAAATATATTTTTCGTGTATTTTCATGTTTGTGTGTTTATTTGATATATATGATTAATGCTGAAAATTGATATGAAATTTAATATTATTAGGTAAACAACGCAATAAAGATCAAAGCCCAGTGTGCACTCATGTTCTGTCTTCGAAAAAGAAGAGGAGTAGCTGGGTATTAAAGTTTAACTGTGCCAAGAACAAAAGTTCTAAAAGTACAGATATTATCCCTAGTCAAGGGAATAACAGTTTAGATTGCGTTTGCACTGGTTATAGAAGAACGGAAGAACACCCAATGGGAGCTGGTGTTATATTTAATAGTCGATCTGCTCCTCAAAGTCCAGTGCTGGGACCACTTCCGCCCAGTCCTGTGATTGATCTTTCAAGATTTAATCCGGAAGAATTTCCAATGGAAGTATGTCTTATTATTGCATCCGCAATTTGTATAAAAGACTTGGAACAGATTTTAATAATTTTTGTTGCAGGATTGTGACAAAAGAGCACGGCTACAACGTGCACGAGAAATGGAGGAAGGCGTTGAACCCCCTCCTGGTTATAAACCTAACTATCCTTCGGGAATTCAAGTACACCCAAATGGGATAACGGTAGATAGTTTAGCAGCTTTGTTCCAAGCGCATGCAGGTATACAAGCTGCTGCGCTCACAGCATTATCGCAAATCGACTTTACGTTAATTCCAAATATTGAAAGGCCAGCACATACGCAGGTAGATTGACTAACTTTTATTTAAACAGAAATAACAATTAATTTAAATTGGATTAATGATTGTTAACGTCTGTGTGTATATTTTCACAGGTTGATTATGTTCATTGTCTTGTGCCAGATCTTAGATCAATTACAGCTTGTTCTTTTTATTGGGGTAAAATGGATCGATATGAAGCTGAACGTTTATTAGAGGGCAAGCAAGAGGGCACGTTCTTGTTACGCGATTCAGCTCAAGAGGAATTCATCTTTTCTGTTAGTTTTCGAAAGTATGGACGATCGTTGCATGCCCGAATTGAGCAGTGGAATCATAAATTTAGTTTCGATTCGCACGATCCAGGAGTTTACGCTTCAGAAACGGTATAGAATACAATTGTATTTTTAAAGATATACTCCAAGTAAACAGTACATGTAAATGGAAATATAAAGTATCATGCGGTTCATTTCTTTTCAGGTATGCGGTTTAATCGAGCATTATAAACATCCATCATGTTCCATGTTCTTTGAACCTATGCTTACTATACCATTTCATCGAAATTTCGCTTTCCCTTTACAACATTTATGTCGAGCAGTAATTACGACACGGACGACATATGATGGTATAAATAAATTACAATTGCCAAAGACGCTTAAGAGTTATCTCAAGGAATATCATTACAAGCAAAGAGTACGAGTTAGGCGATTAGATACCGAGAATGATTTACAACCAGATGGAAGATCCATATCATATTTACCTTTAATGTAAATCTCTGTATTCATATTTAATAGAGTTTGTCAGGCATTATTTTACTGATTTTGCATTCGTATCTACCACTTTATTACAGTAATATATGCCACATATATATATATATATATATATATATATATATATATATATATATATATAAATAATAGCAGAACTAATATCACTGCACAGGTATCAATACATATAAAAACTATAATTGATTTTTCGTAAATATTGCAAAATTCGAAAAACTATCTTTTTTTTCGTCTAGTAGTATCCGTCCTTTCTTTTTCTTCACGTTGTATTATATTGCAAACTTGCGATTAGAATTACATTTTTTGTTATCTGCATCTGTATGATTACGAGTATTTTAAATAATTAATTTAAGCGTCTGTAAAAGAAGATTGATTTCGAATTACTACTTTTTTTTATTTATAATATTAGAGATTGAAATTACGTTTGCGTAACATTTTGTGCTTAACAAAAGGATCATAATATATATTAGCAAACAACTCATACGCATATTCAACATAAACTGAAACATTAGTATAATCGAGACAGTAATTGTTGTTTTTCATTTTATCATGATCTCCTACATTTGCATCACAAATACATTAATTGAAAAATAAAAAAAAAAGACGAGTAACATGTAAATACATTAAAATAACAGCTTGAAATATACTGCACATTCTAAGTTTTATATAATTTAGCGATATCAAATCTTTCTTATCATGTTCTTTTTTTCTTTGTAACATGTTAACTTAACTTAATCACTTGAAATATAATTTAGTTTATACATTATGTTTAAAAAGATTAGATATTATTATGTTTAAAAAGAATTAAAAATACTTGAGATCTAACATCATTGTCTTGAATTGCTTTATATTGAAATATACCTGTCACTTTTTAGTTTTCAAGAAGTTTAATCCTCTTGTTTTGTTTATTTATAATACAAATATTGATATTCATTGTTATTAAATATAAATGATACTTTAGAACTGTGTTCTAAATGTACGTAATGATCTTAAACTTTGGCAGATTAATTATTAGATTAACTATATTACACTTTGAAAAAGATTAATGTTTTATTAGATACAAAAAGGAATAGTTGTATAACATAATACAGTTTTAAAGAGATATTTCTTTATACAATCAATAGATTAATGTATGATTGTAAATACAGAAATTTACTATCAGCTTAATACATAATAATTACAGATTTATCTGCTTTGCGAAGTGCAACAGTAATTTCTCAGCAAGTTTCTCTTATAATAAATTTAGAGAATTAAAATAATATTTCTGTTGGATAAAACACATGCTGCATAATAGGTAGCGCTATTTTACAATTAAAGAAGAAGAATGAAAGGAACAGTATGATGAAAAATATATCTGTATATAACATGTAGGAATAACATATTAATTTTTAAATGCTTCATTGGTCACAAATATTGATTTGTTACAATATTTTTAAATATATGGAATTATATATTATAATACAACATTGTTATCACTTTAATGTACATTCTTAAAAGGATACTGATAAAATTCCTCTCCCATTTTTCAACCATATACAACTCCGTAACAAGCATATATCTAAAGTACCAATACTTTAAAAAAGAAAATAATCTTTGAAGCAGATTAATCATATTTGCAATTATCCACGAGACGACTAAATCGAAGTAGTAAGGTTATGTTGCTATTAGAAAAGAATACGTGATAACGCGATGACACGTACCAATGTTTAAACATAAAGTGTCACGAAATATTGAACGTTTCTAAAATAAATTGATTACTGGAATAAATGATCAAAACTGCACTTAAACTTTCGACGTTGATAGTTCTTTGCGAGTCGATAATGAAATCACAAAAAACATTAGGGAATGTATTCAAAGAAAAATCAACGATGGCTAACGAGTGTAATTACCAAGTATTGTGGAGCAGCGAATTTACCTGCACCATTTTAAAAGAAAAAGAAACATTTTATGTTACTTCACATTACGTTATGAGAGATTTTTTAGTATGTAATCATTAAAATATTTTAACGCGTTTTGCATGTCTTGATACTTTGCTACAGCGCAAGCCTCCTCAAGTGAGAGCCATTTAAACGCTTGATGCTCGTGTGACAATCGGATAGGTTTCTCAGGATCTAGTAACTCCGCTAGCCAATAAACGACAACCTTGGGCTTCCCGTTCACATGATAATTCAGTTCGTGTTTCACGTTTTCAAAAATGTTCAAATCGCTAGCCAATAAGCCCGCTTCTTCTTCTGTTTCACGTAATGCGGTTTCCATGTCTGATTCATCAGGGTCGACGTGACCTGCGAAGCAAAGTACAGACATTTATGCAAATCGCATCGAAAAATACCATTGTATGCATAGAAGTCACTGTCGCATTCTATGCTTCGCAAAAAAAAAAAGGGATTCGATTCTATTTCTCTGTGGAGGGTTAGGGTGTAATGAGGTTCGAGTAACGTGAAAATGAACAAACTATTATATCACAAACCTTTCGGTGGTGTCCAATGATGCTCGCCGTAAGACACTTGCATTAGGAGGTACTCGATCATTCCTCGAATACGTCGAAATATAACAAAACCGCAAGCGCGTTTTGTCATCTTGTGTTTGCTTAGGAAATTGTTGCTACGTTTGCGTTTTCAGCTACTGAATAGCCACGGACAAGTGGCGACAGGGTCGTGACAAAGAAAAGCTTGTAATTGTCACGACTTACGTTATGCTAGATGGATATGCCTTGACCATTGTAAATTCGAAGAATTTATTAATTGAACGATAATGCCGTGGTGAGAAAACATATGTCAGGGTAAAAATTACATGGGATTATTTTTAAAAATAGAAAACCATTTGAAAATCCATTTTGGTACGTATGACTGTTGGTCGTTTGTTTTGACGCTTGAACAGATCGGAAGTAGAAGAAAAGTTAGATACGTCGGAGAACATCTTCGGAGATCATCGTAGGATACGTTATAGCATTCACGAATGAGAATTTCTGAAAACTGAAAATTTCAATGAGAGAAAGAGACACTGTCCTCCTGGCAAATGAAATGTTCCGTTTTGCCTCGAGTCGTTTATATTGTTTAACATTTCTCCTTTTACATCAGTGAACATGGAACAGGTGTTTTACATATCTCCGTAGAAAGTCGAGGTTCTCTGGATATTCGCAATGAAAACGCGAATTTATAAATAAAAATAAAGAAATATATATTGACGTGTTTTTCTTTTTTCTTTTTTCCTTCAATTTTGTCTTCGATTTTCCTTTTCATTTGCGTTTTTCTTTTTCTTTTTTAATCATTCTTGTTCGAGCGATTGTTATCACAGAACATCATGGCGTGTTAAAAAGTCGTTTGAAAGGATAGAACGTTTACCCTGTTGCGCGCGTACAACTTCGAAAGGAATCTGAATTGGGAAACAATGTGTGTTACCATTTTATTATAAATGTTTCTGCTACATTTTGTTGGCTAAATACCGATCACCAGAAAACACTTAGCAAAGCTGTATGTACGTACCTATCTACAAATTGTCACGTGTACATTGCGTATGTATGTTTTATCGTGTGGGCATGTATACGTGTGCATGTACGTGTGTTACATGTGTGTGTATGTGTGCGTGCAGGGCGAAGTGATGTCACTGGATGGATGACGAACCGAACCGAACCGTATCGAATCAAACCAAATCAAATCGAATCGAACCGGATCGGACCGGATCAGATTCGGTATTCATTTCTCCCTCTATCGTTTTTTTTTTTTTTTTTTTTTTTTTTTTTTCAATTTTTGTCGTCGATTCAATTGGATAGGTTCGGTAACAAAAAGAGATCTTTTCAAAGCTATGTTC